TATAAACTTTACTTAATTAAAGTACTTTGTAAACACATTATATTATAAGCAAACCAATTGTCTTGTGTAATGATTTTGGTTGTATGTGACGCAGCATCATTAGATCAACATTGACATAATTGTTTTGTTTCCGTACGGAGAGAATCTCCTAAATCTGAACCGATATTAATAAAAACTCACATACGCCAAACTCTATTTAGATCGGTGCGATGTTTTGCTGTCGTATGTTCTCTCATACGTTAAAATTATGTCCAAACCAATTGTGCCACATAAAAAATCAAAAATTTTCCAGAAGGGCGTGCTTATATCCAATATTGTATTGCGTATGCTATACGATTACTTTCAAAAATAGAAGAAGAAGATTTGCTTGAACATTTTTTGAGCAATAAGAAGTACGGGTGGTCTAAATGACCACACATCAACTCAAGACTTTAAGTTTCGCATTAGGAAATATATATTGGGCAATATTTTTGTATATAATTAATTATAATATAAAATGTTTAATGCTTTTGTCTTGGTTTGTAGCACACGTAATAGAAAATTTCAAGGGATTGGATAAATTCCAGAGATACTACTTTGAACGACCATACATTTGTTGTACTAACGATTGAAAACGATGAAAATGAAGATTTGGTATAGATTCACAACTCAGACAAGATTAAAGCTAATTTTAATGACATTGGTGTTCTTCAAGAAGATGCATTGGAATATATATTGGGATATATGATCCAAAAACTTAATCTTGAACAATACCAATGTCGTGAAAATTTGTTCACATGGGTTGGTCAAATTTCGAAAGCTTCAGTAAATAACATTCTGAGCATTTTTACGGGAATAAAACAAATGGAAATTGTTTTTAACAAACTAAATGGTATCACAATAAGTAATTGTCCAAGATTCAAACAAAGACTCATCAGAGAATGTAGTGATGTTGACCTGTCATCTAAAGTAAAAGAATTTTTTTTCAAAAGTCGTATACATTTTCACGTGCGTTATTTGATCAAAAGGCTAAAAATGCAAATATCCGAACAAAATTATGGTATTTTAAAAATAAATTTATAAATAAACTATTAACTTTGAAATTGTTGTTCGATTAATATTAGTATATAACTCATATTTGTTTGCATTTTCAGGAAGATTTTTAATCAATAATCGATTCGCTTTGTTTTATCTAGAGCGATCACACACTATTATGAACCAATCGACAAGAATGTGGAACGGGACCAATCGACAAGACTGTGGTCTGTACTTTGTAAATATAAATATATAATGGACTACGTGGGTTTAGCACCAATATTTCGTGGTATTACAAGCTCTTGAGGCCACATAAACTTATAACAAAGTTGTGTAGCGCATAATAAATCAATATCATTGCATATGACTGTATCATATATCCGTTGTCAGGTCCGTATTTACAATGGGTGTGAAAAGGAATAATATCCTATTGTGAAATTGGTATCTCTATGTGCACTGATTTAGCCCCTATTTCATGGCATAATTATACAAGGTAGTCTCATGAAGTCATATGTTTCCATTTTTTTCATAAATTTGCCTTTGACAGTATTCAGCTTTCAAAATTCAAATTAAAATAACTTCATTCGAAATGTACGCAGATTATTTATTCAGTGGAAAAAATTGCTAAATAATTTATATTTATAAATATTTTGAAGCCTCTAAAACGTATAAATATAAGTTGTAATAACCATGGTTAAATCTTGAGAACAGTGTTCAGCTTTAGAAATATATTTAATTTAATTAAATCAAATGCTATGATTCCTACTGCAAACCTAAAATTAGGAAAGTCAGCTTTTGTATAAAATATAAAGATGCCAATGGGACTGAAATTGATGGAATAACAAGAGACCAACAAATACTTATAAAAATAAAAAAATCCGAAATAAAAACTCAATAGTTAAACATTTTGTTAAAGGACACTTCGAAAGGCTTCGAGGAAGAAATTCGCGTATATACAGTGGCGAGCAGAAACGAGTACATGTTTGCATTTTGTACACTTTTTACGACATAAAAATAAAACTAAAAAGCAAATTCAAAAAGAAAACGAGATCAACCCCAATGTACTCACTTTTGCACGTCTGCATTTGTTTAATAATGTGCAAAAAAGGAATGTAAAATCACGTTTTTTAATAATTTTTGGTTCTCATTAGTTTTTTTAAGAAATAAGTTTTTACAAAGTTTGGAACAAAATAAATCAAATAAATAACTAATAATACTAAATCAAGAAGAAAAAAATATAATAACCACTGAAGAGGCCATTCGGATTTTGAGTGAAAAAGCAGTTCTACCCTGGAAATTGTAAAGGGACATAAATTGTGCCAATTATTGGTCATATGGGTAAGAAAAACGGTGTTCCGTTGTTCCCAAACCTCAAAATAGAGGTCGTACACCGCTTATAAGTTGTGTGGACCCACGTCTAATGATAAGGGAAATGTAATTTAATATGTTTTAACACCAAAATATGCTTCGTAAGTACTCGTCAAACCTGTTAGTCATTGAACGGCATGAATAGCCCTACCCGACATTGGATATAGCAGCATTAAAAAAACTAAAAACCTGTATTATAGGAAAAAACTACAAAATAAGGGTAAACGCTTTTCAACTAGACCAAAAGTTGAACTGTGGTCGACTGGAAACGTGTGACCGTTTTCAATCCGACGATAAGTATTATTGGTGATGAAAACTAATTCAAAGGCCCAATGTGAAGCACGGTTGAGGAATTGCCATAGTATGCATAGCCTTTAACTTGTGAATCCTGGACCGATGACAATATAATAATGAAAGAAGTCTATTTAGAACATTGTAGGGTCATATCAGTCAGTTTATGTAGCTAAGCACGCCTATCCTGTAGAAGAAGTTATTATGTGCAGGACGGTGATCAAAAACACACATAAAAATTCGTGAGAGAATATCTTCGTGAGTAAAATTTTAAATTAATACACTGGTCAGCACAAAGTTTCGACATCAATCCGAACGATAATTTAAGGCCAATCGTAAAGAGAGAGGTGGGACAGTACCAATCAGCCCCTTATAATTTAGACAAAGTTCGCATTGGATCTGAGGTGATTGGAAGAATATTTCCAATGAAATTGTACTAAAATTGTTTAAAAATATGCCCAATTGCATAAATGACACATTCAAAATATAAAACTACAGTATAAGTAATAAAAAAATTCGAATTTTGCAAATTTGTTCAATAGTGCAAAAGTGAGTACATTGGAGTTGATTTACTTGTCTTTTTTTTCTTAGAAATTAAAAAGTTAAATTCTTTAACTTTAGGTAGATTTGTTAGATATAAAATACAACCAACATTTTTGAATTTGAATTGCTTTTATATTTTTATTTTTATGACGTAAAAAGTGTCCAATGGTCAAACATGTACTCATTTTTGCTCGTCGCTGTATTTGCAGTATGTGAGGAAATATCAATTTATAGTAACATTTGTAATATCAAATTAATTGTTTGAGTCGAAAGAAACTGATCATGGATGGGGAGGTATGTATTTCATATATACATTGGTGGACAAAACTAAATCAACTAAAATAAATGACCTGTAACTTTTTTTAGAAATATATATATATATATTTAAATTATTTATTAAAAAACGCAATATTTATATTGAAATAAAAATATATTCTATGGAAACTTAACTTGACCCAATTTTTGCTCGGTCAAAACTAAAACAACATTTTGATTTCTTCTTATAAATAAGCAAATTTCACTATTAATCATTTTTGTTACGGTAGCCTACGAGGCATTGAATCTATAAAATGCTCAATTTTAACCTTGGGTTTACTATTCCTCGCATACTGAACCCTTGGGAAGAGGAGAGACAAAATCAATGTATATAATTCAGATAGAAGTCTCCATATGGAATTTGGAATACAACCGAAAGTACACCTTTGACACCGTGAAGAATTGCGGTGGTAGCATCATTGTTTGGGGATCATTTTTGTACGATGCTATTGGGTCACTGTATCATATACAGTATATATTTTACAATATTGTATGCTTCCGTACTTCCATACGCTTACTTGCTGCTAATATAGCCCATATTCGATCTTGACCTGTCTGCAGACAAAAGATAAGTCTATGCAACATTTCAGCTAACTACCTCAATCCCTTCGAAAAACAGCGGACGGACATGACTGTCTCATATATATATATATATATATATATATATGATCGGAAATGAGTGAAATTAATGTACCCTTCACACTATGGTGAGGTCAGAATAGCAATCAATTGGCTGAAAAATAATAAAGCAGCATGTGCGGGTGGGTTACCAGCCGAAGTATTCAAGGCGGTGGTCAGATGCTGGTCAATGATATAAACCTCAGTATCCTGTGTCCCGTGCACAAAAACGAGACAGGACAATAGTGCCAACTATGAATAAAGGTGGGATCACATGATTGTCGCAATGCGCCAATTTAAACCAATTTTTATTGTCCAAAGTTTTACTACAATAAATAAATTGTCACAATCAAATTCTCTGCGGTCACATGATTGTCCAACTTTTCATAAATTTGATTGCCGCATATTGTCTCAAAACCATCAAGTGACAATTATTGTCCAACTTCAGTCACACGATTGTTCTACTACACGGCAAATATCAGAAGCAGCTGCTATGTGTCAAAGTTTGTTTATTAAAAATGTTAAAGCATTTAAAAATTTGTTTTATTAAGATGTGTTCTTTAAAAAAAAAGAAAATTGCAGCAGCTATAATTATGGTGTGTGCATTTGACGATGAGAAAAATGAAAGGAAAGAAAAGAAAAAAAAGTAAATAGAAGTACGTGGGTCAGAGAGTGGCTCACAAAAAGAAGCACTGATTGTGCATATGACAAAACATTAATGGAATTCCGGGAAATCGAAAACCAAAAGTTTTTGTTTAAAAATTTTATCCGGATGGATGACGAAACGTTTATCGAATTGTTGCAACTAGTGTCACCATATATTAAAAAACAAGACACAAACATGCGAAAGGCTATTCCCGAACAAATACGCTTAGCTGTGACACTTCGATTTCTTGCATCTGGTGACAGTTATAAAAGTCTTTCGGTCTTCTTCCGTGTTGCCCCAAATACCATATCACTTTTCGTACCAATTGTTTGTGATGCTATTTATAAAGCGTTAAAAGGTGCATACATAAAGGTATGAAAAATCTAAATACACACATATTTATGCTTTTTAATTGACTTATTATTTCTTTTGATATGTATGTAGATACCATCCACGCAGGAAGAATGGAATGTCGTTGCTTTCAAATTTAACAAACTATGGAACTTCCCGAACTGCATAGGGGCGGTTGACGGCAAACATGTGCAAATTATAGCACCACCTAATTCAGGAAGCACCTTCTATAACTATAAAGGTACACATAGTATAGTGCTAATGGCAGTTGTTGATGCCGAATACAACTTTTTATACGTTGATGTTGGCTGTAATGGTCGTGTGTCGGATGGTGGAGTCTTTGGAGACTGTACTTTTCAACGTGCTTTAAACAATAATGAGCTAAATTTGCCACTTCCAAAACCATTGCCAGGTCGTCAAGCAAATGTTCCATTTGTTTTGGTTGCGGATGATGCTTTCCGCATGCAGAAACATTTGCTGAAGCCATATCCTGGTAAAAGTTTATCTGCAGGGCAGAGAATATTTAACTACAGGCTATCGAGAGCACGACGTGTTGTAGAAAATGCATTTGGCATAATGGTCAAGCGATTTCAAATTTTTTCACGCCCTTCCAAGCTTAATGCAGAGAAAACAACCTCTACAACTCTAGCTTGCTGTGCATTACACAATTTTTTGTTAAAAAAAAATTTAAATTATACAACGTCGTTGCTTGTTGATCGCTACGATGAGGACGGTGCTTTAATTCCTGGTACATGGCGAAATGACTTCCCACTAGATGCTGTGAGTGGAACAGAAAATGTTCCAAGTTCTTATATAACAAGTGAAGCAAAGGCTGTTCGGGATGAAATGGAAAAGTATTTCATGTCTCCTATTGGAGAATTGAGCTGGCAATATAAAAATATATAAATAATTTTATATATCAAATAAAATTTAAACTTTAATTTAAAATCAGAAAATTTACTAGTTTTATTTAATTCATTTTTAGTATCTAAAAAAATACGGACTAGGAAGGTACTTCAATATTGCAAACAAAATAACAAAACAAAAACTTACATATACATACTATAAAAATTCAATTTAAAAAATGAAATATAACGCAAAAAATTTATCAAGGCTTAATCATCTTCTTCAGCTTCCAAAGCTGCATCCATTACGACTTTGACAAGCTGGAAATGCAGTTTGTTCGCAGCCTTCTTGTTTTTCTTGGCAATTTCTCGCATTTGTGATGCCAAATACATCCCAATCGCGTGCCAATTATCTTCCTCCGCATCTAAACACTTAACTGCACGCTGCAAAATGTCACTTTTGTCTACCTTTACAATCTCAGCAGCGGCATGTTGTGAAGTACTTCCAGAGTCGTCCAAATCTAATGTTGACACTGTACTTGACATTTTTGACACAGAGTGGTCGTTGTAAAATTGCATTGCAGACCAATGCGGCCAATGTGGTATGGTATTTTCGGCTCCCTGACCAGATTTTGATTTTAGTTTTTTTTTTTACATTTTGAAAGGCCGTTTTAATGTTGCACCATTTGGCCTTGCAGTCTTCCACCGTGTGCCCTGTACACATTTTTTCAATTTCCCGCCATGCCTGCTCCCGTTTATTCCTATCTTTGTACTCGGTGGATGAATACTGCCAAACACATGGATGCTGTTCCACAGCTTGTATCAGCTCCTGTATTGCAGTGTAGGTCCAGGAACAAATTACACTTGGTTTTTTTCTTTTTTTCGGCACAGGTGTTTCTGGTTGCTGATCGGGGGAAAAGAACTCAAGCTCAGCTGAATTTTCGTATACAATGCAATCACCGAATTCCATATTAAAGCTGCAAATACATAATATGAACATAATTATAGCAAATACAACAATTTAAATTAACTTTACTTTACTTACGACAAAGAAATGTTGACGGTACAAACACAAGAAAAAATATTATTTAAAAAAAATCAGGTTATTGACGCGTATTGTCTTCTTTGATTGACGCACTAGAAAACAATAAATATTGACGCATTTTTCAACTTTAAATTTGCGCAAGGTTGTCTATTAACAGTTCACACGATTGTCGTACCAGAGTTGTATTTGATTGCCGCAAATCAGCACAATTTATTTTTGATTGTCGCATTGGACAATAAATTGTGCAATCACACGATTGGCATATAAAATGCACCAATAATTGGCGCATTGCGGCAATCATGTGATCCCGCCTTAAGTCTCCTTCCCATCGCACAAAAAGTACTATCCAGCGTACTGGGTGAACGACTGAAGCCAATGGTTAATGACATTATTGTGTCATACCAATGCGGCTTCAGGCCTGGCAAATCTTTCAAAAGACCCACGTAAAACCCATCGACACATTTCACCTATGTTTTGACTATAAAGGCGCATTTGACATGCCTATTATTTCCGAGGTGTTTAAAACCATGGCACAACGTCAGCAGTTACAGTGGGAAAAAACCTCTCCGAACACTTCAATGCCGAACGAGGGTTCAGACAAAGTGAAATCCTCTCGTGTGACCTTTTTAACATCCTTTAACGTCAAAATGTCAAAATCACATTTTTATAATCAGAGCTTAACTACATTTTCATCATGTCAATTATTTATTCAAACCCAAGGCGGCATTGATATTTCACAAATAAAATTTTGAGAAAAATACGCGAAAGATTTTGAAAACAAATTTTTCAGGAACGGCTGGGACATATACCATAAAGTGTTACTATACCGACAATTTACAGAGAAGTTCCTAACCCTACTTGAAATACCGAATTAAATGCAATTTGTAGGGTATTTGTTACTACTACTATGCAACATATGGACAAAAGGCTTAAAAACGCACAATAATGGCAAGCCAATTTCTGTATGATATAAAACCAACACATGACATATACCCACACGATACCTGAATCATTTGCTGAAACTTGAACGTATTCTAAATAGGAACCGAAACCAGCTATAGTTCCTTTCCAAAACCTAAAATAATCTACTAATTTTACAAGTTTTGCAACATTTTACTCGAAATCCGTTCCTCAACCCACAAAACTAGTAAAACTTTTAGCCAAATTTAAGAGAACACAAAACAAAATGGCGTTATCTTTTAAACTTTTTACTCGAGAAATTTGAACGAGTAAAAATGGTAAGCAGGAATGCCTACTTCTGATTGGCTGTTATGTTGATTTTGAAGTATTGCAATATAATTTTAGCATATTTACTAGATTTGCGTTGAAAAGTTCAAACTATTTTGTACTCTGGGAGCGATTTTGAAATGTCTCCTTTTTTCAAATGTCTCCTTTTTACTAGCTTTACTATTAAAAAAGTACTGGAACAGACCATATATTTGTGAAAAATTTTCAATACATATGTTGTTATGTTTAGGATATACTAGCTATGGAAGGTATTATTAAAACTTTCCTTATATAAATATATATATATATATATATATCTAAATTCGAATCCTACGTGAAGTAGAGCTGTAAAAACATCGATATTCCAAACATTAGATAGTTTCGATATTTCATTTCAAACTATCGATATTATCGGTAATTTTCCACCACTATTTGGGAATGAAAATGGCAGATTTTGTGTGTTGAAATTTTGCAGAAATATAAAGAAGAAACAAACACCATATTAAAAAGAAACAATTTATTAATAAAACCATTAGGGCGCAGCACTATTGATTCAAAAAGCTAATGCCGAATCGACAAATACAAAATGGAAGGTATGTATATTTTTGACTTTAGTTAAAGCGACTTTTTCCTGTTTTGGATAATACTTTTAACGGTCAATGCGTATTTACTGTCGACAGCATTATAACTACATATTTGTTAAATTAATTTTTTGTCAAAAATACGTATTTTAGGCGATCAATAATATCTATATTGTCATTGATTTTTTTACAGCTCTAACGTGAAGACTATTGCGCATTAGATGATCAAAGTGTCTAACTTATATGTGCCTTTATTGTTCCTCAAATATATATTTTTCATGATGTGAAAAATATTTTCCTACGGTTGATTTTAATTGCAGTGGGAAGAGTTTTACCAAAGAAAATTATGAGAAAAACAAAAAAAGTTGAGAGATTAAAGTAATCGAATGTTGTGTTACGATAACTCGAGAACGTGTGCACAAATTTTGATGATTCAAAGGATTTATGAATCGTATGTGATCAAAATAGGAATAGTAATTACGCCATCCATACTAAATTATCTTTTAAGGTGAGAGTAGTTAGATCAAAACTTGACCTTCTCCTGAAAAATGTTTGGTGGAATAAGTTCGACCAATTGATAAACTGGAATAACACACATACTGACATAATTTTATATTTAACAATAACCATATTACTTAATATATTGGAGTATCAGTAAATCATAGTTTACCGTCGAACAGTGGGTTAGAGTAGCATGTTTTCTTGGATCAAATCAGGGAAGCTATGTTAGGATAATTTTTTCTTTATTTTTCAGCTTATACCATTAAAATAATTAAAAATGTTTTCTAGGTATATCTGAGTATAATTGTATTAAGTAATGCCAAATATCAGTGTAGTTATATAGTGCAAGGAGTACAATATGGGAACTTAAACATTGAATTTTATACATCTTAAAGTTAATTATCCACATCATATTCATCATCCGCAGCATCAGCAACTTCTGATAACTGCTCAATATGTAAGAGCATTTGACACAATTCCGGGTCTGTGAATAAAAAACTTGTGCAAAGTGGTAATTATATTATACCAAGGATACGTTTCAAAAAAGTCGTCCTGTATTGTGTGCATATATTTGAAATTTGTCCTTATTAATTTAACACTTTTTTGTCATTTTGGCAGATTTGTTTAGCGTTTTGGTGAGTTTTTCGATTTCTTTAGCTAAAAATGTCATCTTGTCATTCATTGTTTGAGCGCTTGAATTCAATATAAGCTTCGACGATTATAAAAAACAACTTTCGCACTTGTATCTATAAAAAATGCTAATAAAAAACCCCTTTAAAAAATCCCTTTTACCCGATTACTTGAAACTGCGCAACACAATCACTATTTGCCAAAACAAAGAATATTATTAAAACAAATAACAACAAAATATTATTGTAACAAAGAATATTATTAAAAGAAACAAAAATAACAGCAATAATATATGGAAAAGAAGGGCACAAATAATTAGAAAAAATAACATGAAAAACAAGAAAACACAACAACAGCACCAGTCGGGAGATCAATGTGACTTTTAGCTAATTTGACTGCTGCAACACTTGTATTAAACAATGCATGGCTTCTAAAAGGCACAAAAGGGCAGCGTAAAATTTTGCTATATAACACAGATATATGTCTTCTTTAACACTAGAACGCCGAAGGCGGTCATTCTGACCGCTTTCCAATTTCAAGTACAAAAGCAACTGTGCATTTAATGACACTTTTATTTTAAATTTGGTGATTTTTTTATAATAAACGTAATTCTATGAGATACAAAAAGTCACCAAATTTTAAAAAAAAGTGTCATTAAATGCACAGTTGTTTTTTTACTTGAAATTGGAAAGCGGTCAAAATGACTGCCTTCGGCGTTCTAGTGTTAATATAAACTAAAAATTATTGATACGAATGTGGACGAATAATAACTATCCATTTAAAATATAAAAATATTATTTTCTGGCATTTTCAATATAAATAACTAAATCACTTCCACACACAATTTGATACTCAAATGTTAACGAAGTAATTGCAAAATAACCCGAACTTCATGGTTCCATTGAAAAATGTTTAACTTTTACAATACTTTAAGAAGATAATAAAATTGTTTTTTTTTTCAAAATAGTCAGGCTGAGTCCCAGTTTGTTTTTTTTATAAAAAACAACTATTTATTAGTGGAAATGTATGGCATTGTTTACCGAGGGGTAAGGCAAGGAAGGCTATAGTTTCGGATTATGCCACTGATCCTCATCTGTTCCCATATTCTCCCCAGAAGCTATTGCTTCTACACAAAAAACCTTTCATACCCAAATGTCTCTTGTAACAAAGCGAATTACTTAGCTGATCAACGAATTAAACTGCATGAGAATTTCGCTGGTGCCTTACTTTGAGGTTAACAAAGCATTTACAAATAATACTGTACCTTTCCCACTGTTGTGTGTTGTCACATCGCGACAAATACACACAACGAATTTGTTGGTGTTGCTAGTATACAGCAATAAACCAAACAGTTTAACCGTGCCTGCGTCTACAACTTCTGTAGTGTTGGGGGTTTATTTGTTTTTTTTTTTTTTTTTTTTTGTTAACAACAAACTGGGATTCAGCCTGACTATTTTGCAAAAACAACATTCAAACGGTATCACAAATGAACTGCCAAACTGAATAAATAAAATTTTCAACGGGAACGTTTTCACTTTTTGCAGCCTTTGTTGGCACAAAAATTTCTATGAAGTTTGTCTTTGCAATTTCACTACAAAAACACCAGACCACTTTTGACATTTATTTTAACGACAAGTGATGCATAATTTTATATACTGTAACCGGATGCAAAAAAATTTAACGATACTTATTTTTTTTAAATTAATCCAAACCATCTGTGTGTCGTGAGGAAAATAATATTTGTATTTTTTTATTGCGGAAATTTGACATAAATTAATGGTAAATATTTTCTGAAATACATTTTTCATGAATTTGTTAATTTTTTACCAAACCTAAATTGATGCAATTTTGATACGGAAAACAACGTTTGCCGGGTCCGCTAGTGGGTTTATAAAAAATAATTTATGAAATTGGATTTAAGTGCAGTATATGTCATATATATACACAATTAGAAAACGGCATATACTACGCCTTTTTATTAAATATATATTTATGTACAAAACTAATTTATTTAAGATACATTTGTTTGATATTTTTGTAATATCAAAAAATAATGATATAATAAAGGTAGAATTTTTAAAGCTTCGCTGGAAGCATTTATATACATTTGTATATTAATAATTCTATTTTTGTAAAGGCATCTATGGACATCGCCCCCATTGAATACTACCCTTCTATATTTACTGACTGATTTAACGATTCATCACCAGACGAAACGGCTGAAGCTAGAATCTTGAAAATTTGGGTGAGGGTCACCCTTGGTACAAAGGTGACAGATAAGGCTGGGTTTTTGGAAATTTGTACTAGAACGGTACGAAAAGTACTAAATATGATATCATTTGTATTTGACGAACTTATGTGTACGAAAAGTACT